ATTGTAGTTTAAATTACAATAAATATGTTTATTTAAATAAATACATACACGACTTATACGACCGATTCTGTATTTACAAGTACGTATAAATAGCGGAATTATCTTCCGCCTCATTTTAGGCGTGCTGGTGAATATCATGGTTAAAAAATGCGTGTATGTTTAGCTGCCAAGGAATTTAAAAAAAAATTGTTTTCTATATGCGAAAAATCTACTATACGCCGTGATTAAAAAACATTTCGTCTACTGTTGAATCTGTCATTCCCATAAATTAGTATTCGTAAATTCCAATGAGGTTTAAAACGCCTATCAGGCTTAATGAGCTTTACGTTTGGCGAATACTTAATGTATTAACTCCATAGCCTTTGCCAATTCATATTATATAAAAGCGTATGAATTAAGTTTGGTATCAAGAGTTGAAAAAGGAGTTCTATAGAACAAGTTAAATATTTTATCTTTCTACGTTAGGTGATGTAACAGTCTCATACCCCAGTTAGAAACAAAGCCCGGTGGTTTTGGTTTCAATTCGCAGATCGCTGATCACTGAGTCGCTAAAAGAATAAGGGTTATATAAGCTTTATTTCTGCTTAAGAAATTACAAAGAAACATTTATACATTATTGAATTACACATTTAAAGTACACAAAAAAGAAAGCAAGCCAAAAAAATACATAGAAACAACAATGATTGAATGAAATGAAACCTACAAGAATTTAATAATAACAAACAAGACACAAACAAATCTATATTATATTGTCAGACATAAAGCACTATTTTTTTATTTATTTATGCTGCCAGCGCTCAGCACACGATACATTGGTACAAGATAAATAAAATACAATTTTTAATGTGACAAGCACTATAGGCAAACATAACATATAACGAAGAGATAATAAAAAGAAATTGAACAAAACAATTAAATTATAAAAACTCAACGTAAAACAATTTCAAAGTGTGAAGGCAACTGTGGATATTTAGACCCAACTCGTTAATCAGAATGCTCAATCTTGTTTTGGAACCTTACTTAAAATTACCGTCTATGTCGGCACTTTTGTATGTAATGTAGAAAAACCGAAACGTACCGCGCGTCGTCAGCGGTACCGCGCGGTCATGTGAACTTAGCCTTAAGGAATCGACGCAGGCTATTAATGAAATAAACGCAAAATATATTTGCGCTATGACCCACTGGTCTCCTTGTTTGACAGGATTAACGTAAAGTGTTACGGTACAGTATAAGACAATACACAATATAACAATAATAATGTGTTGATCACAAAGGAAAGCAAGCAGATTCTAAGGCTACTGTATTTAATGTTTTCTAATATATAATACTAACAAAAATGGATGGACCATTCGGTCTGGAAGTTTAATTATTACTATTGCAACATTTAATTATACTCAAATAATAATATTAAATAGTTATCTGTTAGTTCAGTGTGGAAGTCTCTCTGATCATGATGGCTGTAAATCGCGTGGCTCAAAACATTTTGTAAATAATATGTACCCGAATCTATTAATGTGTAAAGTTTAGAAATTCTTAATTATTTCAATGAAATTGTTATGTTTCCTTTATACGATTGCAACGTTAGCGTGCCGCTTTAAGGACCAGGACGTTAAAAGAATTAAATTATTGAAAATTATATGAACTAAGGAAGTTATAATCGTAATAATGTGACGATAACAATAATTGTATGAGAACATTATATCCTTAACGTAATCGAATCTAGTTGAATGGTTTGCGTCAATCGCATTGCTAAGACGTGTTTCGTGTTACAATTATTTTATTTTTAAATAGATTCCTAATGTTATTGCCGTGGTTAACTGAAGTAGTTGGTGGGCTGAAAAGTTCGAGGCTAACATAAAAAAAAAGATTTTTTTTTTGACAGAATTTGATTTGATTTTCAATATTGCCTTCGAGATTGATATATATAGATTATAGCTGTCATACACTTTTCGATACCATTTTTATAGTACCATTTGCCGTTAGCCGCTTCAGTTTCAGCGATTACCTCATCATCAGCGCTATAATATTGTTCTTGTAAAGAATACACTTTTACCGGATTGTAATACGCCACGTTTTCTAGTAACTAGACTAGAAGATAAAAGTAATTTCAAGAAATCATTATATGCCCCTATATACGAGTACAGAATGTTTAGAGTAGCATATTTAATATTGATTAGAAAGTGTCAATTGACAATGAAAACTGAAGGAACTAGGACGACATCAAATAATTGCACCTTCTTATCAGCAAAGTTCTATATTATTTTATAGGTTCAGAAGTAGTATGGTACCTATTTAAACTATATTGTTTACTCATATATTTTGTATAAATTATTCAAGGTTTCTCTGATACCGAAGTAATTTTATCCCATATACTACACTTACTAGTCAATCGCCTTCAAACGTCATAAAAATAGTAGGAATCGATCCCATGGGATAGCTTGGGAGTGATTTACGTACATCCGTAACGAACCCTCTTATAAATCAAAGATGTGCAGTTTTTATTCAGTATTTTGAAATTCTACTAAGAAATATTCGTATTATTCGATTGAAGCCAATCTTTTATTAAATGGAAATGTACAGTGTCAAATGGCTATTACCAATTTTCACTTCAGTGATTTTTGTAAAAAGTCCATTTCGATAACGTCATCCATAATTCATTAGAGCCATGTATTACGGGTTTCGGTTTCAGAATATAAATATCTGAATTCTCGATTTATCGAATATCTCGACAGACTAATTCATTTGCGGTCAAAGATTAGGATCCTACTTAGATACGTCATTCTTTTTCATTGATTATTAATTGTCATTAAGCTTATGGTAACACAGTCTTTAATGAGTAATAACCCGCGAAAAATACGCTTGCTTGATAACGTTATAATTCACTAATATGGTTTGAGAGAGATTAGTGACATTCCCAAGAGTTTAAGATATCTTTTCATTATTTAGACAATTAATTAAGACAATCGCATAAGCACCGTAACATAATAACAGCACACGGACAAGCACAAAAACAGTAGGAACTATCTAGCCATTAAAATTGATGCCTAAACTTTTTTGTTAGAAGGTAGGTCATAAAAACGTGGAAATCAAAAGAAAACTCAGTGTTCAACAAGAAAATATGTTAAGGTATCCAATTTTACGATAGAAAGGGATTTTCGGTCTAACTTAATTGAATGTGGGCGGGGTTGCCCTACAAACTTTAATACTGAGAAAATCTTATGAAACCTATTTATTAAACTATTTTCTTACGAAGCAATTTGTAGTTTGTAGCCTTAATAGTTTTAAAACTTATTGACTTTTAGTTGTCTTCGAATCGAAATAAAATTCGAAACTCTTTTTATTTACTTATATAATATTCACGGCCTTTTCCCGAACGGGTAGGTAAAGGCCACGGATCTCTATTTCCTACGGTCCTGACATACCCAATTCAACCACTTCAATGACATTTACCATGCATGGTTATGGGAACATTTGGCTTATCCCTTCTCTAGTAGGTACCTCTTGGATTTGGTCCAAGTACGTCCGAGAAGGCCTGCCCAACCCGTCTTCACCAAACAAATAATAGGTTGGGGAAAAAGTTTCTTCGCATTTTTCAAGAAAATTCACATTTTTTAATATTTTTATTTACATTTAACTAAAGTAGTAGGTACCATTTTGTTCGATAACTTTTAGCCATCTTGTAGGTAGGGATATGATCTCATTGCTATAGAAATTTTGGGACTTCTGATCAAAATACCGCCACAATTGGTTTTGGCAGTCCTCTCGTGATGTTAACCTGACACTGCCTAAAGAATTCTGAAAAGACCGAAACAGGTGGAAATCTGAAGGTGCAAGGTCAGGTCTATACGTCGGATGCATTAACACCTCCCAGCCAAGCTCTCTTAATTTTTTCTGAGTGGCTAAAGATGTGTGAGGTCTAGCGTTATCTTGATGAAAAACCACACCCTTTCTGTTGTTTAATTCCGGCCGCTTTCTCTCAACTCCTTGCTTTAATCTCATCAGTGTTTCGCAGTAGAGTTCAGAATCGATGGTCCAAAATAAAATAAAATAAAAATTTGAAAAAAAAATTTGAAAAAAAAAATTTGAAAAAGCTTAAACCAAATTTGTGCTACTCTCCGAACACTGCACTAGGTCCATAAGCATCGCAAATTTTTTTCGCGGCTTGCATTGCATTTTTACCTTTTTTGTAGTAAAATTTTAAAATGTATCGAATTTCTTCATTAGATTCACTTATCTTGACGGTACGAAAAATAAATAAAAATCACACATTATATTATTATTTATGAATTTGGAATTATCTTCTTTAAAATCTCAACTTTCAATTATAACAAAAACAGGCAAATACAAATAGTACAGCCAAAGAGATTTTATTACAAGTTCATACATAGTATAATGCGAAAAGACTTTTTCCCCAACCTAATATTTAATCATAGTGTAAAAATTACTTTTACAAATGCTTAAGAAGATGTATTTAGTATTATTTGGTTTAATAGTCAAATATTACACATCAATATAATAACTCAATTCAATTTGATAAATTAATTTATTTACAAACCCAATTTATTTATTAAAGCTCAAAGCTACGTTATTAATAAAGCGAAGCAAATATTTTGCTTGTTTATTATGTTTGGTTAAATCCATAATTCCCAGCTTTAGTCCCACAAGGCATTTATCGGTTAGTAATTGTTGAGAAATATATTTAGTGCTAGTAATGGAGAAATTTAATAGAATTTCTAATGGATGCTTCTATCTTATCTCTAGAGAATTTGTAATATTTTTCTCACATATGACAGTATGTGAGTGAAATAAATTATGGGGTGTAATAAAAACTGTTTTCCTGACATAGTTTATTAGCTCCAGGTGTACGGAAATATCGCTCTTTTTTGTACTTACCTACTCCATCTTCTTTGTTCTTATGACCCTTAGCATAGACCAAATTTTTATGCTCTCCACTCTTGTTGTCAAAATACTTTATATTTAATATTGTTCCAAGGATCAAGATGTACGGGCTATTACTAGAAAATATGGCAGAATACATCCGGCAGACGTATGGCGAAGAAAAATGGGAGGACATCAGGCGGCAGGCGGGTGTTGAGCAACCCTCCTTCTCCGTTCATCAGGTGTACCCTGAGAATCTCATTGCACGATTGGCCAAGACTGCACAAGAGGTAAGGACCATGAAAGGTATCGTTATCTAACACCAACAACAACAAATTCTATTTTAATAGGGCCACGGCAGTGCGCCCAGTCGAGCTAAAACTGGCACGGCACGGCCGAACTATCCTTTTGTCGAAGGAGTACAGGAAATTTTGGACCCCCTATAATTTCTTTATGGATAAAATTAGAAGCCTTTCAGTTACATTACCAAGCAGGGATTGTATAAACACGGTTCATTTCAAATTTCATTGTAGTATTTATTTAAAATATAAGATTTGTAATATTGATATGGTCACTATAAGATGTTGTTAGGTTAGCTAATTAGGTAATAACTTAAGACAGAAGGTCCCTTAACTACGGACTGAATAACTTGACCGACTTGGTATTACACGGATCTCAAAACTTTTTACAATAGAAGAACTGCGTTGCGAGACTTGATTTTTTTACAAGTAATGATTTTTAATTGCATATAAAGATTAGATACATAATATATCCTACTGATACTGACACCGTTTTTGTTGCGTTTGACTAGGTATCAATTATTGTGTTTCTAATTAATATTAATTAATGTTGATGTAGCCGATCAGTAGGGCGATACTGTTAGTTTAATGACCCATCAATTAGGTTGCATTGGTGGTGCGATGGAGTTTACGCGTTTGTTTGGATACTCATATTTTATTTCATGATTGATGTATTAAAAAAAAACACACAATTGCACAAACTAATGAGGATGTAAATATAGAATTTCAAAGAATATCTGAATAACACAAAACATGTAGCTATCTTTAATTGACGCGACACATTTAAATAAATCTTCGCTTCAATGACCACGTAGAAAATCGTAGCGAAGATCACTCGAAACGTCAAGATATGTAAATAATATATATCCGTTTTAAAAATACTTTAATTGTAATTCTATAAATAACAAAAACAGTACAATCAGACCAGTCAAATTAGTATGAAAATGTCAAATTATAGTAAATAGTTAAATTATTTTAATTAATGTATGCTAAACTTATACTCTAATAACTTTAGCATGCTAAAAGCATCCTAAAATCAGAAAAAGAAGTTTTGTGTTACCATTATATAAATGTTTATCAATAGTGCCTCATAAATAATAGCCAGATTAACTAATAGGAATAAATTCGCTGATAAATGAATACATAGATTTGCCGAAGTATGCATTCGTCATTGATTGCGTTATGCTAAAATATTGAGCTAAAAATATTTCTAATGGGCAAGCGATCGAGCGAGGTGACGATACATTTATAATATTTATCGATTGAAATAAACTCTTTGATGTGTTAGCGAGTGAACTTTTTCTTTACCTTGCGACAAATTAGGTAAATGACCCTTTTTCTATGAAATATGAATATCGCGCGTGTTAAGAATTTCAACGTATAGATTAGTAAAATTTAAAATTATTATAAAGAATGATGCTTAAGAACATCATTAGATTTTTCAAACTTTTTAATAACGGCCCATTAGCTCAGTTGGTTAGAGCGTCGTGCTAATAACGCGAAGGTCGCGGGTTCGATCCCCTCATGGGCCACATAAACTTTTTTTTCTGTTTTGTTATTTTAAGAAATTTTTAACCGACATATTATTGAAATTGTATTAATTTTCCTAATTATTGAAACTGTTCCCTTTCACTTGAATTTACAAAAATATTACATATACCTAAATTTTTTTGAATAATCGAATAAGATTCATTAAAGTGTAGGAGTTATATAAAAATGCTATTACTACTACTTTTACCATTAATGATTTGGTAATATGTATTCAAGCAGTATTTGAGCTCAAACGAAAATAAATTTCAACAAAAATATGTCCTACCAAAAATTACTTCATTTTGAATAAATGTTTTAAAAATTGTATTGATTGGTTAGCTAGCTAGCAAAATCTTAACAAATCGAACGTGTATATAAATAAAAATTGGAAAAATATGATGATGCTGTTGGAGATGCTGGGATTTGAACCCAGGACTTTCAGCATGCGAAGCAGACACTCTACCACTGAGTTACATCCCCGACACAATCTATGACGAAATCATGGTTAATGTTCTTGTATAATCGTAATAAACATAAATTTTATTATAATAGTATACATTTTACTAGCTAACCCGGCGAATTTTGTCCGCCTAGCAGTAAATAACTGTCGTGTTACTGATTAGCTTAAACTGAAATAATTTATACAGTATAATATGTATCCACAATAGAAGTAATATTATTCCAAAGTAGGTTTTCTTTGTATTTGCTTTATTTTTTTTTCCTTTGTAAATTCAAACCCAACTTATATAACCTTAAATATCAATTATTAGGTATATAAAATATCAACTTCAGAAATGGGTATTTTGTATTTACAGGTTCTTGGTATAACGGAAAAGGAATTTATGGATCAAATGGGTGTATATTTCGTTGGATTCGTCTCACAGTATGGCTACGATCGCGTTCTATCCGTTTTAGGACGACACATGAGAGATTTTCTTAACGGCCTAGACAATTTACATGAATATTTAAAGTTTAGTTACCCAAGAATGCGGGCCCCAAGTTTCATATGTGAAAATGAAACAAGACAAGGCCTCACATTACACTATCGGTCAAAGAGAAGAGGATTTGTTTATTATGCTATGGGACAAATAAGAGAGGTAAGTTTTTCTAAAAAATAATAAAAATTAATTATACATAAAAGTCCTGGAGGCGCCGGGTATCGATCCCGGTACCTCTCGCATGCTAAGCGAGCGCTCTACCATCTGAGCTACGCCCCCTGATGACTACTGTGTCATAATTTTATATCAGTATGAGAAACGAATATACGTAGTAACCAGCGCCATAAGTTTATTTTGTGCAGTTAATAATAACTACGTAACATAGATGGCGCTTTTAACAAAAAGACATGTAAGGATACTGTTACGCTACCAAATTAATGATCACAATAATTATATAATTAATTATAGAATAAGACTACTGTGACAGAATAAAATATATATCATCAATTATTCTAAAATTAAGTCAATCATGGTTCTTTACTCCAGTGAATTGTTATTTTAATTCTAGTAGATATAATATTAAATTAAGTTTATTAATCTAACATAATAAATAATTGAGTGTATAAATTCTTAAAGTGAGTCCTTTAAGAGTTTAAAGGCTTGTTATGCTTGAGTCTTGTGCTAATAGTCCCAAGAGGATAACTTAGTCTAGATTCTAAAAGCCTTTTGTAAGTCGACATCGACAATAGAGGTACTAACATTTAACGAGGTCCTTACCTTTTGTGATAGTGATAATGGATTTTATAATACTTTTCGAAAAGCAAATGTAAGTAGAAATTCTGTAATGTTTTCTTACTTACGTACTTTAAAAATGACCACCCTGTTGTACCTTAACAGATATATATTATATATATATAGTATATATAGTATATATACAGTATATATATTATAGGTAACACGACTGAATCTCTCGGCTGCATTTCCTGACTCTGGGGCGATCGTCAACATCCACGACTGTTTTAATGTAAAGTGGGAACAAACCGTGATCCATGTGGTATCCAATTATTTCAGTATTATTATTATTTTCTTATGAAGCCAAGTCCACATTTCAAGGATCGTCATGCTCGCTTAAATGTCATTGCTTGTGGCGGCGTCCATGCGTCGGGTTGTCTCTCTCCCTAAAATATGGCGAGGGGGCCGATGGCTGGCCATGCGTCATACTCGTGAACGGGTGCTACTTGTGGTGACTGGTCGTACTTGAATTCGTGTATGCGGTGATGTTAATTATTTCGACTATGTGTTTGCGTGTTGTTCCCACGAGAATGTAAGTGCGTGCTCCTATTTCACCATGCCTCCTGCTGATAGGGGACAAGTCTTTGTTTTTATTTATGTTATTATTATTAATTACTTAAAATGTCATGTGGAACATGGTGTAATGGTGTAATGGTTGCAGCTCCTTACAAACGTTGTGTAAAAAAAAAAAAAAAAACATGGCGATTAAAAAGAGTGGCGGAGAGTTTATTGCCAGTTCTTCTCTTCCGTTCTACGCCCTTGATTTGAGAACTGGCAGTAAATGTAAAATTAGAAGCATTAATATTTATTTCTTTAATGACGAATCACAAGTGTACATTGTGTTACCTACGTGAATAAATGATTTTTGAATTGAATTTGAATTTGATACTGAGTCGAGTTTGTGGTGTTTCCTTTTAACATATTTTTAATTATGTAATTATTTTTAAAATTTATTACAATGTGAAACATGGCTTTATAATGCCGTAAATTACAAAAATACATTAACAATATCAATATAATCAATTCAAAAAATATAAATATTATCTACTTTTATTACATTATTATAGATTACACTTATAATGTTGTAATGAGCGCCATTTCTATGACTTGCCATGAAGTAATATAAAATATTCTAATATTTACTTTAGTAAAATAATTTGATTGAATTTGAAGTCTATGGTCTATTTATCATTTTAAGAACATTAAGCAATAGGGCTCGGGCGTATGCGCGATGACGCATCATTTGGTTATTCGCGCCTTTTCGTTTTTTTTTAATATGTTTTAAATTAATAGCGAATATAAGAATTTACTTGATATTTGAATGATAACTACCCACACGGAAACGTTATATGGTGTAAAGACACTATTGTGAATTAGTAGATTTAAGCCAGGATCAATCCAATTCCATAAAATACTTGTTAGTAACGTACTTCTCCATTGTTTGTTCTATTATTGTTTTTAATTATTATTAAATTATTTAAAATTCAATGTGCATTGTTTCAGGTGGCTCGCCACTTCTACCATAAAGAGATGCGAATAGAGTTACTTAGAGAAGAGTTACTATTTGACACTGTCCATGTGACGTTTCAATTGACATTTGACAATCGTGCATTCACTCTGGCCTCGCTCGCGATGACAAGAGAAGAGAAGCATTTACCAATCAGCGCTTCTGTGCTGTTTGAGATATTCCCCTTTTGTATTGTATTTGGGTATGTACTCAAACTGAAACTTGCCATATTACATTCGAAAAAATCTCGTTAATAAAAGAGTAATAGGTCTTATTACATATTCACTTTATATTATGTATTAACTTTATAGAGAAATGAGATAGGTATGAGTTATTTGTTTGTTTCGGCTGCGAAAGAGATTGAGAAATATTATTTGATTTATATCTCTGAAGTCTGAATCTCTCGGATATTGCACCAATAATATACTAGGCATTCATTATTCCTATTTTTTGGGTTCAATTAGAAAACGCCTTACACAATTTTGCAATATTGCAATCTTCAAGTATACAATAGAGAAGAGAGACTTGACGATTTACTTATTTTGACGATTTACTTATTTTGACGATTTATGGTTTTAGATCGGATATGGTGGTACGTAGTATTGGTAACTCACTGATGGTGATTCTACCAGACCTGGTGGGGAAGAAAATTACCAACTGGTTCGATTTGGTCCGACCACTTATTGCTTTTAAGTTTCAAACGGTAAATGTATTCTATTTTTAAATTTGATCAACCTTCCTCGGTCCCACCCTATTTAAATCGATTGTATTTTAGAAACATAATTTTAGAACTTCAATAATTTAAATTAAATAATATTTTTTCGGTTTTGTTATTAAGTTACACTAATGAAAATATTTATCGCTTTAAATATTGGATAAAAAGTTTTTTTTTATTTTAACGTTTATCTTATTTTTAGATATTGAATCGTACCAATAATATATTCGAGCTGGTGACAGTAGAAGCGGTGATGCATGAGAAGGCACCAGACAGACGGAACAATCTGCTTCGGCTCTCTGATGAATCCGACTGCACTACCGAAGAGAACCTGCGATTGAAAGGTATAATTACCGAATTAAAATTGGTTTAATTACTTTATTTCATAGTTATATTATACATTAATATATAAACCAGTGGCGACGGTTTATACAATGTTAAAAATTATAAATTAATTTAAACATGCTTAATTTTAACTTAACTAACAATTAAAAACCTTACGTAACGTCTGCGCAGATTATATTGCCAGTACAAAGAATGCACGGTGAGCAAAAACACACCTGCTCCAATTCCCTTGTAACCATATATTACATATTTGTTTAGACTATCACCAGTATAAGAATTTATACTCAAATTACGAGTCTAACATCGGCCGTTACATTTGTGGCTACTTAAAGTCTATACTGTAGCTATCGTCACGTTTTCGATAATTACGTGTAAACAAAAATGCCGGTTAAAAAAAAATGCTATGCTTGTTAAATCATAATTAATAATGTGATTTTTGGCTTTTTGTTATCCACAGGTTTTTATAGATTACTAGCCGATCCGGCAAACGTCGTTTTGCCTTGTATATCATTCATAATAAAAAATAGGGGTTGATCGTAGAGGGGTGAAAATTAGGGGTTGTATATACATTTTAATGCTGTATCATAAAAATTGTTTTTATCAAAATATTAAAAAATAATAATTTAGGGGTGGACTACCCTTTACATTTAGAGGGATGAAAAATAGATGTTGTCCGATTCTCAGACATACCCAATATGCACACAAAATTTCATGAGAATCGAATCGAAGAGTTTAACTACAAACACCGCAACACGAGAATTTTATATATTAAATAATATATAAAAGTTTTAACATTTTAAATATAAAACCATACTAATAAATTGCCTGTTGAGGTGTGAGTGATGTGTGGGGGTGTGTAATTGTGTGGGATTTTAGGCGGCCTTAAAAATCCATTCAGTTTGCTTATTTCATCCGATAATACCCATTTGGAGATTTTTATATCAAAATGCATGAATAAGTCGAGACTCGTTCTCCTTTATAAATATTTCAATACGTTTTATTTTGAACGTAACTTGAACCAAAATACAAGGTACAAATTTATCAAATTACTACGGCTTAAACAATATATCTGAGGCCATTTTCAGTGCGGGGTATGGTTCGTAAGAAACGATTTGCATACGATGGAAGGCCTTTACCCGATATTATCAATTTACATCTCAAAGGTACCTTTGTCATGCGAATTGGCTATCAAAATACTTTATAGCCATTTTCGATACGTGAAATGCACTATTGCACATAGTAGTAATACTTTACACATACACAACGACGAGATTTACATTACGTCGTCTTGATGTGTTGTTTGATATACTTCAACTTGTCTCAAACATTTTATTAAGTAAGATGGGTAAACTTATATCCCGTAAACGATGTTGACGTAAACAAATGACGTTTTGTTAGCAGGTAATCAGGCTTTTCTATCCCGAACCCAATGTTTGTTCTTGTATCGAATTCAGGTCCATACATCATCCATCCATCCTATGCCACTAAGGTGTTATTATGGTATGATGCGATAAGTTATTTTTGAGATTTTTTAATAATATTTAAGTAGTATTAAAAAATCGAATAATCTAAAAAAATATTATTTACGAACTTATATATAATGACTCAAACAATGCTAAAATTCATCACGATGCTGGCCTGGGTCGATTTTAATAATAGTCGATGTCGAGCTAATACAATTAAGTAGAGTTAAAAATAATTAATTATACGATGATTGTAACACAAAGTGTGCATTATTATTATTTTTTTGAATACGTAATAATTCCAACTTTTGCTGATTTGTGGACACTTTTTTGACGCTATTTGTAAGTTTTATCGCATTGGCTTTTTACTAATTATTACGTTTAATATCAATTTAGAAAATCGGATAAATTAGTGGTATTAATAATAAATAATAAAAACCTTTTATTACAGATACTTTTACACTTAAACACATATATATTTCTATCATTTCATTCTTTTGAAATATCTATGTGCCTTTGTGTGCCACTGTGCCACTCTTTGCCATGTTGTTTCCTGTTGTTTCCTCAACCTGGTCTATCCACCTTCTAAATTGTCTTCCTCTTAAGCGTTTATTGTACGTTTGTTTCCCTTGCCCCACCCATTTCCACTTAAGTTTATTTATTTTTATTCTGACATCGGCTACTTCTTCTTAATTAATATTCTTTATTTTATCTATTCTTTTCTTCCCTATCATACATCGTTCCATCTATCTTTGACATACCTTTAGCTTTGTATGCTGCGCTTTGAAATCCATATGTTAGTACAGGTAGTACACAAGTATTAAAGAGCTTTCTTTTACATACCACGCTCATTTTCTTATTTTGCATGACTTCTCTAAGACTCATATTTAATGTTGCATCGGCCATAGATACAGTCAGACCGAGGTACGAGTATTCAGTTACATATTATATAATACTATTGTTAAATAGTACTTAGTACTTCCTTTCTGAAATCGGTCATTACTTTGGTATTCATTCTAAGACCGACAACCCTGCTTACCGAGTCAAGTTTTCTGACCATCTTCTCCAATTCATCACGTGTCGTTAGTTATGTATTATAAATCTTTTTAAATTTATTACATTTTACAATCATGCTTCGTAGTAATCCTCATTCTACAAAAGTATCAGAAACATAATAAAGACGTTATGTATTATGCAATTTATATACAATTTCAGGTCAAATGATTTATATGGACAATTGGAGAATGATGATGTATTTAGGAACTCCAGTAATGCCAGATCTGTCTGCCCTCGTGTCCACTGGACTCTATATCAATGATTTGTCTATGCATGATTTTAGCAGGTACATCCTTATGCTTAACGTTACTTAACTATCGTATCAATTTACAAATAATGTTTGAAATTTGTTTATTTGCGACTTTTATGAATAAGGTATTGTTTTATTAATATTAAAAATATAATTAAATGAAAAAAAAAGTATTCCTCTGTTTACTCAGAATACTTGACAGTTACTTTTTACGGTCGAGGTCTCCTTTTGAAAGAAGTTGAACAACAAGGTTCAAACATAGAAACCAAACCAAATAAAATACATAGAGTAGATTGTGTATAAAGTTCCATTGGATGCCTCTAATCTGCGTCTGTTCCGTCGACTATTTTTCTTTTGACAAGACTGTGCATCTAGAAGGGACTTCCGTAATATTTGGTCTATTACATGGTACAAGCTGCTTTCCTTGCGATGTTTCCCTTCACACACAAAATTGAACACAAGATTTCTGGGTATAATTGTACAGCTGACTACTAAGCATATCATAGATAACTTACCTACATTTCAGAGACCTAATGTTAGCCGGTACCCAGCAGTCTGTGGAACTTAAACTGGCGCTTGACCAGGAGCAGCAGAAGAGTAAGAAACTAGAAGAGTCTATGCGAAAACTGGATGAAGAGATGAAAAGAACAGACGAGCTACTCTACCAGATGATACCGAAACAGGTGGCTGATAGATTGAGGAATGGAGAGAATCCCATTGATACTTGCGAGGTAATTATGGAGTATCCCCCCCTTGTACTTAAGAACTAATCAGTCTAATTTCACTCATTTCTCATTCTCTTTCTGTCAAATTGTATTTACGTTGTGATGGAAAGAGACAGATGAGTTAGTTAAAACCGTGCAATTAAAGGGAATAAAGGTGATGGATGATTTACTGATTTAAATTTTTAAAGGTTGTCAACACACCCGCTAGCCCTCGGCGTTGTAGGTGTCTATGGGCGGCGGTTATCACTTTATTCAAAGTGACCCACCTGTTCGTTTGTCTCCTGTCCTATTAAAAAAAACTTGCCTATTATAAAAAACTAAAATACAAATCAAAATGGGGCTACAACCTTTTAAGGTCTGGGCATCAGATTTCTGTATCTGTTTCTTGATAATTTGTTTTTACAAATAGACAAGTAGATCAGCCTTCTGTGTCATACGTTGACGTTTTGGGTCTAAGACGATTTCCACACAATGTCTTCCGTAGCATAAAGACAGAAAGAACCAATGGTCTATGCAATCGTAGTCATGGTTCGAACCTATAACAGGGTTGAGAATTGCATGCTTAAGACGTTGGTCAACACTGCTCTAATAACACCAATTCTTATAGTAAAGAAAACGTACCAATCATAAAAAAGTACAAGCGAAATTCCATGCAAAATGTTACGCCCTGAAGCCTATATCTGTGGTGTAAATAGTTTTTTTTATATTAAAAAAGCAACATAAAGCGCGGAAATAAAACTAAATGCTGGGTGAAACGCTTATCGCTTATAAGTGATCTCTATCAGGCAACCCGTGCTAGAGTCATATACGAATGAATCATAATCATTACAAATAAATAACTATATATTAAATTAGTGTACTACAATAACAATTTATTTTCCAGATGTTCGATAGCGTGTCAATTCTCTTCTCTGACGTGGTGACGTTCACAGCGATATGCTCTCGTATCACTCCAATGGAAGTGGTCTCCATGCTGAATGCTATGTACTCCATATTCGATACACTGACCGAGAGGAACAGAGTTTACAAGGTTAATTCTTAATCAATAAAACATAATTAAAAAACAAAGTAAAATACTACTTCCAGTCTACTGGAAATGTACTGATTTATATACTTACTAGATGAAAACCCGGCTTCGCTCGGGTGAAATTTGACTCACAATACACATCTAGGTGCAAAATGTAGGTAGATATTTCTGTAGTCATCGGTTCTCAAAGAATATTAAATATAGATTCGTATAGCATCGTTCGTTGTGTTTAATAAATATAGTAAATAAAAACTGCAAAAGTTTTTACACAAATTATTTTAATTTTAGATCAACATTCAAAATAAACTAAGACTAACTTAACAAAACATATTTATAAGGTTTACTCTCTGTAAATCTCTTTTTTTTAAGCACTCAGTCTTTTTCTCTACTCTACTAAGTACTTACTAATTTTAAAAATAAAAAAATAAATTGTGTCGATAAACGATAACAACCATAGAAAAAAAGAATACTAATCATAATCATAAAAGTTGAAGTTTTAGTTCAAATGTCATTTAGTTTCGCATAGTGATTTATTCGTTTGGATCACACACATCATGCCGAAAATCGTAAGTATTTCATAAACTGTTTCGTTGGTCGTGTCTCTGTCTTCGTTTATTATTATTTGTTTGATGATACCTGATAATTTTGTTAACAGCCGAATCTCCTTGCATTTGGTAAACATTGTCAAAAAGGAGCCCCCTTGTTTGAGCAGCTTCTCGAAATGTTTTTTAAATAATATTTTCATAAGTTCTAACATCTCTGAAGCAAGTCGGCCCTTTGACGTGAAGAAGTAATAACCGGAGATAATATCGTTCCCGATCAGAAAAGGAATAATTATACATTCTTGCAATTACTTTATCAGCCGCTGACTGAGATATTCGTGGTTGCCACTGTCCATGGATAAATCTGAAATGTGTCGGAATTTCGGTGTAAAGATATTGTCGAGCACTTTCTTCTGTTCTGTTTAGTTTAAAAAATGCTAATAATGTTGATTTTCCAGCAGATCTAGCTGCTGCTTCATGAACGTTCTGATCTGTAAATACGACAGTTTGTTGGTTTTCCAAATGAACGCCTAACTGTATAATTGTGTGACTCATTCTGTGCATTGAAAATTCAAATATTCGCCAAACTGCTTCAGGGGCCGAAACATACCTGGTATCAATATAAGCCTTAATTTCATCATGGTGTTCATTGCTTAATGTCGATTGATCACTGGACTCTTGTGGCGCTACTGTGATTTGTATCTTTGCTCGGTCATGACCTTTATAAATATATTTATTTATATATTTCACACTTTTGACGCTTGAACAAATTTCAACATTTATGTGAGCATTAAATTTTTTACATAGATAGGGATTGTAGGGCACCACCCATCTGTTATCACACTCGAAATCCTTCTTTTTTATTGTTCTTCCGTCGTCTCTTCTTCTTATTATAGCATAACCTCCATTTTGGGTACCATCTCTAGTTTCTTCGCAAAATGTCTTTGGGTAGTTTTTAAAACATTTAGAGGCAGTTCCATCATTTTTCATGCAAGGTGAATTCATATATCCAGGACCACATGGCCCATGGATCATATTTTTTGACACAGTCTGAAAAAGTTCCTGGTCTTTATCTGGGTCAGGTATTTCTGCACACACAAATTTATCACAATCCACTGATTTGGTTTATCTTCATTTCTTAGAATAATAAGCATATGCGCATATGGAAGCCCACGTTTCTGAAATTCAATGGTGTAAAACCACGCACTCGGTATTCCAAAAATGTGTTTCCTTGTAATGTCATCTAAAAGTTCCTCCAATTTAAGTTTAAAAATTCTGGCAATTAAATCGGGTCTGTAAAATGTTATAAATAAGTCTGGTTTACCATACTTGCTTGCATACAATTGCCATAGAATCCTGATAATTTTGCATCATGTGCCGAGGACTTCCCACATAAGTTGATGGCAATATTCAAGCCTTGACCCATTTCTCTATGATTATTGTAAGGCTCCATTAAATTGTTATATTTCAGCTCTGCCCTGCAATTCAAAAACTCATTAAAAACACACAGCGGTTTTCGCATCGGCGGTCGCTCTGAAATCAGTCGTGAAGCAGTCATTTTATGATTTGGCATTCTGAAAAGGTGGGAGCTTGTAGTTTATTGTTTATCAGAATGACAAATCATAAAATGACTGCTTCACGACAGATTTCAGAGCGACCGCCGATGCGAAAACCGCTGTGTGAGTTCGAAAAGTGAGTTACAGAATCGCAGGGCAGAGCTGTTTTTGATTCATTCGAAGAAACAATAATCGTTGAGATTCAATCCTAACATGACATTAAATGACATTTGAAACTTCAACTTTTATAGTTATGTTAGTATTCTTTTTTCTATGGTTGTTATCCTAATCGGCCAATCTCAGGTTTAAAGAAAAAACGCATAAACCTTCAAAGAGTATATCATAAAAAGTGACAAAACCAATATTTTGATTCACACCAAAGATGGCGGACACGAAACATGCAGCGGTTTGTTTGTCAGTGCCATCGGAATTTATATTTAACGAAATTCTCCATAATCCGAATTTTGCGGATATATGTTGTCGACTCAAAATCAATATTTTTTTTATGTTTTGTTATTCATATAAGGTTTCGATCGAGTCTACCGTACCCCTTGACGAAATTATTAATATAGATTTGTATATTTTATTGTGAATATATTTTGACACATGTATTTGAATGTATATATAATATTATCTAAATATTATACGTGTTAAACAACCCTTTTCATAAAAAACTATAATTCACAAGTATAATTATAAATATAAATTAATTATAGATGGAACTGTAGATTTGTAATTAGGACCCAATTATACCAAATTAAAAACCAATTATGTATATTTTATTATCAGCTTACATAAGAAGTATAATTCTAAATTTGTACCAAAGTTTACCAAGAACAAATGGTCATAGGTCTACCCTAGTGAAATATGAGAATTACATTTTTTAATTTTTAATTCCATTTTTATATAATAATAAAAAAAAATTATGCTATATTTAGGTGGAAACAATAGGAGATGCATATATGGTTGTTTCTGGGGCTCCAGAGAAGGAAGACAATCACGCTGAGAAAGTTTGCGATATGGCACTCGATATGGTCGATGCTATCACGGATTTAAAGGACCCTAGCACAGGTAAGAACGAAGTACTTTTCTATGACTTTTTAAATGTGTTGAATAAGTTTCTTATATATGAAACTTTAAAAAAAAATTATTTCGATAAAATGTGTAACTTAATATACCTGCGGTATTATTTAAGGATCCCCGTCCTACACCTAACAATTGTAATGCATATTATGTGTAATTTTATAGAAACGTTTTTAAACACGGTAATAAATAATAAGTATTATTTTTTATTACTATTTTTAAATAAATAATAATAATTAATGGCTTAATTCTTCGATTACTTTGCTGTAACCGGTTTTATTTATCAAATGTCAGTTTCGTTCTAGGAAAAATGATTACGAGTATTAAATATTATTCTTAGTTAAAAACATATCTTATTAAAATCATGTATTTTATAGGCAAAAATATCACCGTTTATGTCTGACAAACCTCCAATTTTAGATCTAAGACATCAGTTTCCTTACAATATATTCCGTCATTATACAAGTTTTAATTGCACACAGTAGAAATAATAAGGATTGAGAATCTCACTTGACCACGAACATTTTCCAGGGTCCCATCTCTCGATCAGAGTAGGTGTACATTCTGGCGCTGTAGTGGCTGGAATAGTAGGCTTAAAGATGCCGAGATATTGTCTCTTTGGTGATTCTGTGAACACTGCCTCCCGAATGGAGTCTACCTCAGAAGCGATGAGGATTCATATATCGCAAACAACTCAAGAGCTGTTATCGCCATCGTATATGGTCACTGAAAGAGGGGAGATACAAGTGAAAGGGAAAGGTACGTGCTGTAAGTTGGCGTGCTTTTCTGTTTCTTTTTATTACAGCCAAGGTTTTTCTGCTAACGTTCTTTTTCATTACACCTCCTATTTTTAATTTTTTCCCGCTCTTAATTACAAAAGTATTCGCTATGTTTTTAATTTTTAGTTAAATTTGGTTAACACTTAATATCTATGAATTAATAATGAATTTATTTTATATGTGTTATTTCTGTAAGTTGCGGCTGTGTCCAATTATTAAGATAAATGGACGATTTTTTTTATCATGAAATATATACAAACTTATGGGAAATATGTACTGGCACTGCAAGCGCGCCGTGAGATTTAACCATACTTCATATATGTAACTGATATAATAGTTAGGTTATCATATTGATGTAACGAGCCTTCAAATCATTTTCATATTTTCCGTGTTTGAACATTTCTTACAAATCCAGGTGCAATGAAGACTTACTGGCTGGAAGGAAGAGAGTCCCGCCCATCTCTTACAAAAGTGATCTCCTCTCAAATACAACCAGGACAGGAGTTAGAATGGGAAAGAGCAGCTGACGTAAGAGACAGCATAGCAGAACATTCAGCTCAGCAGCTAAACCATAAAGATTTTAACATGACATCGGCAACATCATTAATTAGTACGGGAAATATGATTTCGCCAACTTTGAAACAGCCGATCGTAACGTCACCCACAGAAGAGAGACGAATGTATTCTCCGGTCACTTTCCAAGATGTTGCCAGACGGAGTATTGCCAATTCGCCGAATAGAACCGATAAAGATAGAGGTAAGACTAACCGAATAGTATTTAATCAGTGACTCTAGATTAAATTGAAGTGAGAATATAGGTACAGTTAGCTTACTACGTCATTTTAACAGCTATTTAGATGATTGACTTAATAATTAGTTAACAATTAAGTTTCAAAGAAAAATCTCAAATGATGATAATTTTCTTAAATTAAGCCTGCGTCGCAAACATGAAGACGTGGTCACACGAAGAACACTGCTTTTGTATACTTACCTTAAATTCATATGTTGTCCTTGTTTATAATGAGGGTTATGTTTCCAGAATTCCGGCCATTTCCCGACTCCAGGTCGACGTCAGCTAGTGTTGGAGCAGTGTGGACTGACGCGGAATCTTTGGATCCTCAACGGACCTTAGACAGCCTGAACTCTTCGTTCTGGTAGTTTATTTTGGCTTTATTGACGTAGCGGGATTGATGTCAATTCTTGATGAAACAATAGTAGCTTTGAGACACAGACAGGGCTGATATGACAGAAATTTCTTCACAGTTAATATTGATTATTCTATGAATGATTAATAAAATCTTATAGATGTTTTTTTGGGGGTCTAATGTGAAAATTAATATTAAATAAAAGAGGATAACTTAGGTATACAACAAGAATATACCTCCTCACTCCTGAAAAATCTTGAGACTTCACGTTTAATGAATAGATTTTTTTTTCCCAGTTACAGTTCAACATCTCCGTGCAGAGTGGGAACTGCTCCCGTTTTGAACAGGGACAAAGATTATTTTACTGAAAATATTGTAAGTAAATAAATATTTAAAACTTAAAATTAAGTTTACTTTAAAATGTTGACTTCCATCAATCTGATACCCATGATATAAGACGCAGAACAGTCAGGTGTCAAATGTTTGTCCTAAGCCTCTGCTCTTATTGCTTTTAAGCACCTGACGCAAAAGTGCTTTAAGTTTGACGTGTCTGTCTGTGGCTTCATAACAAATATCATTTATTAATGTACCAACATTACCTAACTTAATTTAACTAAGCATTTAATGAAATTAAATTTATATTTGGACCGGTAACCGCACCACTACTCATAATAATCCTTACCCGGTTCCATGTTAAAACCCACTTATCAACTATGTGTATGCCGACAACGCATCTTTTCGTACCTCGGTCACACAATGCGCAGCGGCGACGAGAACTTGGCAACACCAAATACAAAAGATTGCGTGGACGTTCGCCAACGAGATCGACTGATCAATTCAAAGATTCGTTGTCTTGAAAATTATACACTGTTATACACTGCTGACCGAAATTGGTGAAGGAAAGTTATTTGCGCCAGAGTGTACAGCTGACTGTGATACTCAGACATGAGTTACCGACCCTGAGAGAGTGTGGAATTTACATTTACTGCCAGTTCTTAAAATAAAAAACGGACGATAAGAACTGGTAATAAACTTTCCTTCACTCTTTTAAATCGCCAATGTTTGTTTTACAAAAATGTGTTAGCTACCAAAATTTATGATTTCACCCGCGCGTCTCCCACCGCCCGTTTGACAAACGCAATCACCGCGGCGCGGCGCAATGGTCGCGCATTAGGTACAAACTCGAGGGCATTTTGGACGATGCGTAGTATATGCAATACAATAAAATAAAATATTAATATGTGGTTTACTTAAGGAGTGCCAGATTAACCTCGTGAAAAGAGTAGACCCATGCCAAATGGAGCATTCATAATGATGCCACTGACTGTGTGTTATTTTATATATGCTAGCAAAAATTATATGAACGAGTGTTTTTTGCCTATTATTTGTAACCATTGTTAGTATTAGTAGATTTATTTTATCTATTTATTGACACTTTGAAGTTTCATGGAATCTTTTTTTTAAGTTGAATAATTCCTTATTATATATTCTTACTAATATTATAAATGCGAAAGTGTTAAGTTTAGTTTTTGGGAATGGTTTTTATTTTACTCGTGGTAATTATAAGATTATATCGAGTCGAGAACAAAATAAAAAATTACCTTAATTTTTAGCAACGGCAAAATCTTACACGCATAATGGATGGATATTTTGGACACTCATGTACGTCCAAACTATTTAACACTGACCTGCTTTGGTGATCGAGCTCGTCAGCTATACTTTTTATTGCAACAGGAATTCATAATTTAAAAGATATATGTATATTTATTTAACACTACAATCCTGAATTACTCTAAAAATATTTATTTATCGGTATTTAACTGAGCAATTTTGTTTGACATATTTTTCTTTCCAGCGATTGTCTCCGCCTTGTTCGGCGCCGGGTATCGACACCGCATATGGGCCCAATACTCACATTACACAGACCACTATCACACATGTTCGAGCGGCATCACAAAACGGAGAAGAAATAGGTAGCTTTTCTTATTATTAAAAATGTAAGTATTAGTCCGAACAATTCAGCGAAGTTGTTCGGACTAATACCTGCAGCTGAGTTTTATTATCGGACGTCAAGGCAGAATACAAAATACCATCCGTGTCACCTCGACGTCCGTCGTTCCACAACTGAGCGTTTCTTAAGGCAGTTTTTGCCGCGCATCACCACTATTATATTATATAGTACCAATTCTTAAAAGGGCGGTAACGCCTTTGCGAGCCTTCTGGCAATGTAAGTGGGCGGCGGTGTCACTTACATGAGCCTTCTGCCCGTTTGCCTCCTATTACATAAAAAAAAAAAAAATATCCAGTGGCGCTACAACCCTAAATAAGTCATTTCCTCAGATTGTATCCGTTTCTTTGATCATTTTCTATTTCATAAAAAGTCCATAGCGGGTCTCGATAATAATATTCTAAACGCCAATATATAATATACATTTAATAATCATGTTAAACGATGTTGATTATTTATGCACTTCTTAAGGAGTGAAATTATTTCTTTATGGACATAACAATAGATAGTGTGAACTTTAAAACGTCATCCTAAAGTTAACCGACTGAATGGTTTTGCGCGAATTGCACCATTATACTTTTACTTTTTAGAAAAAACTATAATGGTGCAATTCGCGGTTTCTACTAAAGAACGAGCATCTAACAGAAGAATGAGAACAAAATAGAATCTTTTGTGTTTGTTCCACTGATCTGAGAACAAGAGCGGATTCAAAAGGGGTGTCAACTGTCATGGCATCATTACCATATACGTTACTGTTAAAAAAAATACCATAAACACCGTTTCGTCAGTGTATTTTTTTAATTTTGAAAAAGAATAATGGATAGATGATTGGTTTTTTGGTAATGATTTACTGACTTATCAACGATGGATCCCGCCTTGTCTGAAAAGTGCGCAATATGTCCTCAATTAGTCCTTAATTTAACTTGAAATTAATAATCATATAAAATACTGTACCATTAATTTAATTCCTATAGCAAATAGTATTGGTATTCATTAGTAATAATATTTTACATTATTTCACAGAAACAGACACAGAATACCAAGATGCAAACACAGGTTTATCCCACATATGTACGGTGTCAGAAAACATAGAGGAAAATCAACCGAAACAGGGAAAAGTGGGACGTTTTCGGGCTCGAATAGCTCCAGGACACCACAAAATATGCCTCAAAAATCCCAAAGACTCGAAAGAAAAGCCTCAAACTCCGACTAACCCTCATGGTCATCATCATACAAAAAATGTTAATCATCATCAGTGCTGTGGCGCGTTTGGAAATCCACACGTGAGACATAAATCCAGTAACCCCAGTTGTCATTTAATCTAGTCTTTTTATTGTTTTTAATATTTTAAAAGTACAAAGTAAGGTTAAGGTTTTAATATCAGCAACTCGCAATAGCGATCCCGACTTCAATATTCATTTTTGTACCGTGCGATCATTGGTACATCAGCGCTACGGATATTAAGAGAACTACAATAATGTCAATTTAATACATTACAATTGCCATCTGTCAGTTCACTCTACATTGTAATAATATTCAGTTTACTATTTAGAACGGATTTTTTTTGTTATGTTTAAAATGGTTTAATTATCAGTGGCGCTACAACCTTTTTAAGTCTGGCCTCTGTATCTATTTCATGATCATTTGTTAGTCTAATAGGCAAGTAAGTTATCAGCCTCCTGTGCCTGACACGCCGTCGACGTTTTCGGTCTAGGGCAAGCCGGTTTTGTCACGATGTTTTCCTTCACCGTTCGAGCAAATGTTAAATGCGCACATAGAAAGAAAGTCCATTGGTGCACAGCCGGGGATCGAACCTACGACCTCAGGGATGAGAGTCGCACGCTGAAGCCACTAGGCCAACACTGCTCCGTCTTGAATGTTTTATTAGAAGTAAAACGTAAAATTACCTACTATTGTCATTATTATATTATATGCAATCGGAATGGAAAAAGTTGAGCAATTGTCAAGTTCCATCAAAAAAATTATTAGATTATGTACGACGTTGCAAGATTACCTTATTAAATATTGATTTTGAGACATAATATCAAAATTGCATATGAAAACGACCGGATCGCTGTGGCCATCGTATTGAAAGCTAGTACCGGCGCGGATCACTCTATTTTGTAGGGTTGCTGGAATGAAAACTAAATGTATTTCAAAGAGAATGTTACAAAGAACGAACTTTAAGAACTTCTTTCTGAGTTGTTTAGGACTTTTGCTATGTGGCTTTTCTCTAATTGACTTAATTTGACGGACGCATTATTATTTTAAATGTTATGCTTAAGAGGGTATTGTAGAATATTTTATATCTTACGATTGTAAATGAAGTGCAACACGGCACGTTGGTTAGTAATGCGTAGATGGTGCGTAGATTTTGTGGAGAAAGGAAGATGATGCTCCTCCTTCGACCAACATAGAGGATAGTCTAACCACTAATTGTCAAAGTCAAATCATTCATTTCAATTAGACCACCTAAAATGGCACTTTTGAACGTCAAACAAAATACAAAGAAGATTCTAGTTGCCCCTTCCCAAAGTTAGTTTCGTGTGGAGAAGAATGGGCAAGAAACTCCACACTTACTCTTTTAAAATAGGTTTACAATATTTTGTTTACATTAGTTAAATAATTATATGTGAAGACAATGTACTCTTAGAATAAAACTACTATGCTAAAAAAGTTGGTATACATGTTCCTCACATATTTACAAATATTGAAACCGTAGAAAATTATACAATAAAGAGTAAAGTGTCCGGCCCGAATAACACAGTTGCTAAGGTCGAGAAGTGGTATATATGTACTATATATCCCTAGCAGTCCGAATAATTTGGTTAGCGCATTTTAGGGTATGACGTCATCACAGTGATTATAGTCCTTTGATAAATTGATTGTAGATAGATTGTAGCTGTTGTTACAAGTCTGTGTTTCAAAGAAATAAAGTAAATCCTCAAAATTTAGATAGTTGTATATTTAGTTCTAGTGTAAGGCAACTCTATTTCTTATAAAGGCTTGACGTTTGTGTCAGATAAAAATTTTATAAAAAGTATTTTATAAATGTTGGAGATAATCATTAGCTATGGTGGTTCATTACTCAATGCTTGTTTAACGCTGCCCAAAGACGGACCGCATGTTGCAGTCGATACCGACTGCTCTAAGCGGTCGCCGCACGGCGATGTGCAGTTTCCATACTAAATTCATATCCGCAATACACGGACTTCAACGCGACCGCTCTACAGCAGTCGGTCTGGACTGCAACATGCGGTCCGTCTATGGCCAGCGTAAGTTTCTAGTTTTAGGATTTGTGATGTCACAAATGTTACAAATACAGTATCAAATGCTTTAAATCTTATTCAAATTATATCGCAAATAGGTGGGTGAGATAATATAAAGTTAGATTCATATAGATCTCATAAAGCAAATCCAAAGATATTCCAAAGAAAATATCGTTTCGACGCGAGCTTTACGTAATGACAATAGCAAATAAATATAAGATAAACTATATTGTTTTACTGTTTAACAGTATTAAAATCTGATATGAAATTTCCAAATATTATTAAGATCTTTTAATAGGATTTAACTATAGATTGTGTTGTCTATTTGTATAAAATTATTAATTTCGAGCTATATACTAGTGTAATTTTTAAATTAAGATATTTATATCAATGCAATTAGGGTCTGTTTCACAATGTATGGATAAAGTACCAAATAGCTATGCAACACATAAATTATTTGGAAGATAAATTGTGCTATTTGACACTTCATCGGACTCATAACTTTGATGGACTTTATGTGACGACTGACAGTCGTGAAACGCAACAATAGTGTTTATCCTACCAATAAGTAATAAATACATAGCTAATTTGGAACTTATGTAGAACTTATCCGTACATTGTGAAACAGACCCTTAATGTTTTAATAATTTACAAAGACATTAATAATACTAGCTAAGGTTTAGTTGTGACGAAGATATCATCGATTGATGCTTATAGTTGTGCAATTTCTGCCTTAGGTCTTGGGTCAACAAATATATTATATCCTACTATTATAATGTATATCACTATCATAGAGGTTGGAAAAAATTGATGTAGGTCAATTAAACAACTTTTCTAGTCGTTTTGAGATTAATATTGTACTTAAATATATATTTCTTTATTATTAATATAAATTAAATGTTTACAATTTTATATTATTAGAATTACGTATCGTCTTGTAAAATATTTAAGTAACGTCACGTAACTGATATTATGCAAATTTATCGACAGGTTTAGATTTAATTCAATTTTGTCTATGTCAAGATGTATGCATAAAAGTCCTTCGACTAAAATATTAAAGTTTACACTAAGACAATTGTGGTAGTCTTACTGTGATAGCAAACTTTTTGTTTCATCGCTTGATTGAGATATCCTTACTTGAAGCATCTATTGATTAAACTAATATATAATTACAATGACGTGACTCTTCATCTGAGGATATCTTTGTGGTCGAATCTGGAGATTGTAATGTGTATTAACGTAATATAAATAGCATAAAATTGTAATGAAATCTTCATATTTGGAACTAAACAAGTGACAATCAATTTTAGTCTCTTGAAATTATATTTTCTTCAATGTGCCATTGAATATGTAATCTAAATCACAGTATTTCTTATTTTACTAATAATTTAAGCATCATTCTCTCCTATTCGTACATCGAATATATTTAAATAGACTCTTGTTTAAAAGTAATAAATGTGAATCAATTTCTATGCTTTTTAATAACCAAAATATCGGTAATTAATCCATAAATGCAATTAATCAATGCAAAACACCAAAACAGAACCACTAATAATTATATACATTATTTAAAAGTGAGATCCGATGGGCTTACATCCTCCTTTATATGTTATTAGGACTAGAAGAGAAACTTGTATACACTATTTTTAGTTTCAGTTTCTGCAATGTTGTCTCAGCACAACACATGTCATTTAAAAGATCTGAGGTAACAGCCATAGGTTAAAAGTAAACAATAGATAGTCTAGTACAGCCATCTTGTCAATACCAGCCTTGCGATTCTGTAACTCACACAGCGGTTTTCGCCACGGCGGTCGCGCTCAAATCAGTCGTGAAGCAGTCATTTTATGATTTGGCATTCTGATAAGGAGGGAGCTTGTAGTTTGTTGTTTATAAATAACACTTATAAAATTGTCCTCGTGTCTCCGTAGGGCCAGTAACGAGACTGTTATGAGCAGATCATGTAGATATTTTTATGTGTTGTTGTTTCGCCGGGGATCGAACCCTGGATCATGTTTTATTAAATGACAAACTATTATAAAATAAAACAAAACGTGCTTCGAAATCTTTATTATTAAAAAATAAAACTATTGTAAAAAAGTTTTTGTTAATAAAAGCTGCTTAGAAATAACTTCAACCTTAACGAAAAAGCTGTATTGAGCAAAATGTTATTTACAAACGAACATTATTTATTTTTAATTATTACATATTTATTAATAAATAATATAACACATACTACGTACAATATAAAATACTTTATTAAATTTATCATTTTAAATTTCTAATTAACTTATTAAACACAAGGATAATAACTTAAAACATCGTATTGCCCTTTACTATTATAAATATATTTCTTAATAATTTTTAAATATTTTTTACAATACGATGACCTTAAAACAATTTAATTGTGCACCTCACTGCTTGGACGGTTGTAATATAAATGTTATTAACTTCGAAATGAACACTGAAGTTTATGTAAAAAAAATATTTATCCATACATTCATTATTAATATATTAAACAAAATTATTAAACTATCATTTCTTTATAGAAAGTTATTCAAAGCTCAACTCCGTTCCCTTCAAATGCTGTTCAGCCCAGTCATCAAATCGCCGAGACAGATCATCAGACATAAAATTCTTCCAATCTCCAATTTCCCCCTTTCTAATGAAACGCAAAGACGTCTGTTCCAAGTAGCTTTTGCCAAAGGACTTTTCCAAGATGCCTTCTAAATTCACGGCACGATTTTGTTTCATGTTTTGGAAGGATAGATGATCGCAAAGCTTGTCTACTTGTTCGTCGGACATATTTTTGTTGAGAAATGTCGCTGTTTTACGTACGACCATTGGTAGGTCGCGCTTCATCTCTTCGAATTTTATGAAAAGTATATTCGGATCGTGGCGACGTTTCCAGAATCCTGGTGGAGCAAATTATAAAAATTATACGTTTATTTTATAGATGGAAATATCAAAAAATCTATTCGGTACATTGACAACTTTCCTTCACATTTAGAAATACGCACATGGAAAAAAATAGATAAAACAGGCATATTTTTCAAAATACGGCTTTAAGTTTAAAAAATCTACAATATGCCAGATTGTACACCCGGGACAAAAAGCTATGTTAAGTAGATGTATGAAATAAATATTTTAATAGCCTTGACTCACCAAGTATATGGTTCCAGACTGGACCAAACGGCGCATGATCTCTCATGAACAAATCACAGAACTCTTCAAAACTGCCTTTTAATCCGTGAACCAAAGTGCAGTAGTGGTAATAGGATACTACCATATCTTTAGGGTTGCGGGACGTGTAAATTACCTACATATAACATATAATAAACGATATAACATACAGCAATTATTGCATTACATCAAATACTAGAACAATAGAAAGTTTCAAACACATCATCATTAATTTTAATCAAGTAGGTAGTTGATCAGCCTTCTGTCCTGTCGTAGATTTAAATTATGACTATGTCATGTCGGTTTCCTCACGATGTTTTTCTTCGCCGTACGCGCAAGTGATGATGTGCAGATGGGGTCCAAACTCCATCAGAATCGCTAAATTTACCGCCAGGCTATACGTTTCCCGAAGACAATAGTTAGATTGTAGATTTTAAGCTATTGCATAGATTTTATCGCGGGCTTCAAGCGCGGCGACCGAATCAAGAAATTCCGTAACGAAATAAACCTAACACGATGACGTGACATAGGTGCGGCCAATATGCGTCTCACATCGGTCTGGCGTGATCGGTGCCGTAGCGCAGGTCCGTAGAGTGAGACAGGACTATACAGGCGTGTTAGTCTGAGTCTGGTAGAGTGGTAGATTTAATTAATATCAAAGAAAAAAATACTGCATAAATAAATAATTATAATTGCATAAGTTGATAAAAATTCTATGCAATAGCTTTACCGCGGCAGTCCCCGAGTGCCACACGTATTATTTTTTGTATAAAATGATTATTTAGATGTTTGATAGATTGCTGACCTTCGGTTTTGTGGTCCCGTCATCCTTAACGATTTCAGTGGGGAGCAGGTCCCAGGGTAAATGGCTACGGATGTACCGCGGGTGAGGTAGACGATACTTTACAAGATCCACTGAAGTGCCTTTTACAGACTCGTCATGCCATTCCGCGTGGCCGTCCACCATTATACAGCTTAGCTCCACCAATGGACAACGGATCTAAGTATTTTATGCTAATATGATATGTATGACTTTGAATTTTATTTTTAAATGATGAATTTAAGAATCTATAGAATGTATAGAAATCTATAGAAATATTGTTTCGGAATTTGGAAACCAGGTATGTATGTACTAGTACGCACAACGGACCAACCTCGAGTCTAATTGCGGAGAAAGGAGTCCTTCAACCCTATGTATGTACTAATAACTGAAATTTGTAAATACGTTAACACAATATTTGAGGACTGTAATAGTGTTTATTTTGTAAAGATATATCTAATTCTATAAAAACAGACTGCGGCATCATAATATTTAAAAGCGCTTTTACTAAACTTGATCTGTATTTTTACACTTAAATTATAACTTACTTAAATAGTAACTTATAGATTTTTATGAAGGCATTAAATCATGTAAAATCGTAATATTAAATATTGCTAAATCGAAACGATGCTATTTAAACTTAAAATATATTTCTTATAAAATATGGCCTCATTGAAATTTTGGTGCGTAGAACTAAAGTTATCGACAAAAATCGTCTTTAAACAATAATTGTAGCCTTTTTCATACTCAAAAAATCTTATACATATGGGTATCCAAGTACACTTATGAACGTCAACAGAAAAGATGTTAAATTGATTCTAAATTTACATTTACTACCAGCTCGCGAGTCAAAGACGTACAGCGGGGGCATATGACATTATGACATATTAATTGCCCTATAAAACAAATTATACCTTTTTTTGGCACATAAGTTAACGTACTAGTAACGGAACTAACTTGTTGTATAGATTTGGCTCCTTCATAGTCCAAGTCATGTCCAATCAGCCACACCATTTCCTGTGCCCAGGTCGAGCCTATAATTTTAAGAAAAATCTTTACAATTATTTCCTCAAAATGCAAAAGTATAGTACACTTTATATAAATATATTTTTTATAACTAAGAAACAGGTTTAATTAATAATCTGTGCCCTTCGTTGCTGCGCCCGAGAAGTCTACGTTTAATTCCCAAAACAATAACTTTTTAGTGTTACATAAGGCTTACGCTTGATTAAAAGAAATTTAATGACAAAATTCAGAAATTATGCCCACGAAGTGAAGTATTAACTACTAAATACATTTTCAAATACATATGTATATATATACCTATAGATATGCTATGATATAATATATATATGTATTAAGATATTTGAGCTAGATCAAATAACAGAGTTCAGAAGAAAAAATGTACAAAAAAGAATATCACCCGTTCGTGGATACGAGCACATCCAGACATCGCTTTCCAAAACTTCCATGTCTAGTATATCTTGACCGATGGTCATATAATCCGCTGGTAAAATCACGCGGCCAGGATTAATTTCTACCATGCAATCTTTTTTATCGAACATGTTATCCAGCATGGTGCCAGTTTCTTTGTCTAACTTCGAAAAGGATAGCACCGGTTTTGTTCTCATTTTGAAAAATATATATGTATTCACAGATAAAAAATTAACATTAGTATTACACAGAAGACGTCCAGTGGCCGCCTCTTGGGGAAACGCAATGGTTGCGTGCTATATTATTGCGTGGATAATTTTCCTTAACTCTCACTTAAATGGAGTGTTCACATTCCTTTTGAATAATTTTATTTGCTATTTGAAATATATTTGTTTGCAACTCAGCGTAAATCACATAATTTATTTGCTTTAAAACATTAAATTTTATTAAAAACTACAATACCCTCGGTAAAGTATATAATAATTACTAATACTAAAAAAATCCTATTTTTTTCATATAAAATTCAAATAAATAAAACTCCTAGTTACATAAATAAAAGTAAAAAAGCACTTCACGAAAAACTTGTTGTCTTTAAAAAAGAACATAGAAATAACATTTGCTAATATTTCAGTCTACATAGTAAATAAAATAAGACTTCATATTATATTAAATTAAACAGCCTGTATAGGTTACTTATCTTCCGTGTTCCTGTATAACCACTTTCTGTTTCTTACATAGAATTGTACGCAAAGTGCATTGAAGTGCAACGGTAAAACCGTTATAATAGTGTAAAATAACATGGTATTAATAACTAACTCTTACATTTAGATTTGCTCCCCAAAACAACTTATTTTTTCCTGAAACAGGTAGAAAAACAAAATCGAAAAAATGCTTACCTAATTAATATTCCTCTGTTTAAAAATGCTACTAGCGCCTTTATATTTTATTTGGTTTGTGAACCAATAAGTTTTAGTCAACTTCCCGCGTTTTTTGATTGCCCGTTTCCGTTCAAGTGTGAACGAAACCCTCGTCGCGCATGTTTTCATAACAATTATGAAATACGCCGAAATTAAATACATTTAACACTGTTAATTTATAAATATTAAACACTAAGATCGAAATATAATTAAGAGCGATGAATTTTCGTCAACTTCCCGCGTCTTTTGATTTCCCATTTCCGTTCTAGTGTGAATAAAACCCGCGTCGCGCATGTTGTCATGACAACCACCAAGGCCCAAGTACGCCGAAATTCAATATATTTAACACGGTTAATTTTTACATCATAAACTATAAACAAAAATCATGTCTAAAGTAGCAAATGTTAATTCCAGTTTTGCGTACGAAATCTTAATGTATCTAAACTCATTTTATTTAGGAATGTTTTTCGTTTGCGAAGTGGCCATGGGTATTTTAAAAGCGATAAATGTATCCTACCCAGAAAATGCTTTATTGACTGAAGCTGGTATATTTTGTGCGTTATGTTTGGTAGAAGTCATGCGTATATTTCTTGGCAGGAGAGGAAACCTTGCTAGTAAAAGTAAGTTGTTATGATTATTGATCTAAAAGGTACAAGGTTACGTAATTAAAGCCTCCTATCCAAATTTTTGTGGTCATATCTCTTAGGATAAAAACAAGCATAAAACATTTTTTTTTGTGACTTAAGTGTTGAGTAGGTAAACATGATTCATCTATGGTTCTAAATGGATTAAAGAGTAATTATTTTTCAGAGATACCTGTATTTTTCTCAGTCATCCTTACAATACCATCAGCTGTTGGAGTATGCTATTTTCTCATTTATCAAACATATATTCTAAGACTCGAATACATTTGGTGTGCTGTAATGTTAATATTTCATGCATTAGAGCTAGCTTTTGCTATTCTCTTCATTTTTACTGTGTGTAAAAATCATCAGTATGAATAGAATAGGTTTAAAAGTACCTCCTTGCCAAAAAAATATTAATTTTCATCCTACTACATTCCCCAGGGACTCCTTCTTTTATACATTTATTAAAGGAGGTAAAAAAATTAAACTTGAAAAATAATTTTATGAAAACTGTCCAGTTTATTTATAAAATATGCAATTTTTTTACCATATTCATAAAAACTAAATCAGTCTCATTATGCTGTATTAGTGTTTTTACCAGAACATGAACACAAAACAAATAGTAGTTAAGCTTTTAAGACTAAATGAAGTCTTTGTTATGAAGAGCTTGAATTTTATATAAAATGTCTTTACCAAGCCAAAATTTTAAGATCACATTATGTAAATATTAATTCATAATAAGTAACTATTAACAGTACCATAATTCTGATAAATGTTACTTTGAGTTGGCTAAAATAAGCACAAAATAATAATTAAGGAAATAAAATTATAACAATGCTTAAGTTCTTTTATTTACTAAGCTAGACTACACATTATAGTTATTCTTCCATTGGGGGTTTAATATGGTCAGGTAAATGTTGACATTCTATTTTCGTAACTTTCAGAGCACAACCCTCTGGCAAGTTTCTTTCAATATACTCCAAATATGTATCACAAGTAGAGCCTGTTAATCGTTGTATGTGTATAAATCGAAAGTACGTTCTGATTTCATATTGAACTCTGTGCTTTTTATAAATATGAACACAACGGAGCAATGTATGTCTTTCCTTTTCAGCTTTTCTGAGTGTCCAACTGCAAATTAGGAATGCATTTTTTAGTTATACAATATATATATTTATATGGTTTTGTTAAATTAGTAAACAATAGACTAAAGGATTGATATTACATGGAACACTTAATTTATAGATTATTATAATTAAAGCTATTGCTAAAAATAGAAATACACACAAACCTTTTGGTGACCTCAATGCCTAAATGTGATGCAGCAGCAATGCAAAACCATGAATAGCTCAATAACACTGCAGGATCTATGCCTCTCATCTCAAGCTCTACGCGTTTGTATAATTTATCCAGCTCTACGGGGCTTGGCGGTACGCCTTCCAGTGGTTTCATAGGTATCATTGAAATAGCCGACATTTGTCTTAAAGGTGAATTCAACACAAATGCGCCTCGAAGGGCTGCTGTTGAACGCCATAATTGCTGAAAAATTATACCGTGCTAATTAATAAAGATTTGTTTTGATAATATCTTATGTATTCCGAGGACTTGCACATACTTTAGCGAAATTCATTGTCTTATAGGTTAGCAGTTACTTGATTCGATAGCACAAAACTAATATTGTCTATTAAATAAACATTATTCTACTTGAGAGATATTTATTTTAACACAAAATTCGAAATATATGTCACAAATAGGTAACAACCTATTAATTGTTAACAGTTAAATTACTTAGGTTATATTATTGAAATAATTAACATAATACAAATGTGAAATGACAGCTGATACTGACGTAACCTTATCCTAGACACTCAGGCTGACAAGTATAACTTCAATACAAATATAAACTGTGATGTATTATGACATATGGGAGTCGTAGTTTTCCGAGTGGTAGGTGATAGGTCTCGTTTCTGAATCTTAATTCTTTTTTTTATGGCTCTGGCACGATTTGTGCATTAGCCAGCGCAAATATAGGATTTTTTTTATAATTCGTGCTTGTCTTTAGAAATTCGACCGTGTGTCCTCCATGTACGGTTTAAGGCACTCGCCCGGTACCTCACAACCCTCCCAAAGGCCGAGAACAAATTTAAATTAAATTAAAACTCGCCCTCGAACCGGGATTAATTCTTATTTCTTACTTCTTACCAGTGTTGCCAACTTGGGGGTTTTCCCCTCAAATTTAAGGGAAACAAGATGTCCAGGATTTTTTTTAAGGGGTACATTTATTTAGGGGGATTTTTAGGGGGTATTTTATTTAAGAGTTTTTTTCTCTACAAACACATGATTCTATAAAATTTATATTAAGCTTCGAACGCAATCAACAAACTAAACGAAATATAAACTCCAAGCCTGGTTACAGCTTAAATATCGAAACGCAATAATTTCATGTGTCAAATTTGTTCCTTCTGACCGTATGATCAAATCATTTAACGAAAATATGTACGATTTCAAAAATATCAGCAACAGCAAAACGCAGCGCGATATACAGGCCGATGCCTTCGACGAAATATTAGAAGCTTATACCAATGACATTTAATAATATTGTATTAGAAGGAAAAAGGCACATTGAAGCAATTCGTTTTTTTGTTATAATTCTGTCTCGTTTACTGTTACAGATCAGATAAAAAAAACGAATACAAAAAGCTTTAAAATAATGTATGAAAAGAAATTGACGAAAATGCAAAAAACTGAATTCGAAGAAAAAAACAGTTAAGAAATAAAAAATAAAAATCGTTTCATCTCATTGTTATTATCATTAATATTATTTGGTCATTGATTAACATTGTAAATTACTGCTGTTGTAAATATGTGAAATGTACTCATATAAATACAAAGCTATTTTTTACTACTTCAACGTATTTTTAATTCATATTTGAAATTACCTCTCAAACCAAGTGTACACAAAAACTTTAGGGGTTTTTGATCGACATTTAGGGGTATTTGAAGTTGGTCCTAGGGGGAACATTTTGTAGGAGTTGTCAACCCTGCTTTGAGTTGAGACTTGAGCTGCTTTTTAGTTCTTACCCTTAACCCTAGTGACTTGGCTAATGCACAAACCGTGCCAGAGCCATAAAGGAAAAAAAAACCCTAGTGACTAGTCCCTAAGTCACGATACAGAATTACGTATAAGGTATAAACCGTATAATCAACAATAATAATTTTACGTAAACCAAACAACGATAATGGCTAATACAAAACAGATATTTTTTACACTGATAATATAATATGACTGCATTCTTAAAAGACAATTTTTTTAAATTGAATTGAAGTCATCAATTTAACCAAATACATGTACATTGTACAAGTTGCATAGTTAAATCAGGGCAAAGTAATTTTAATTCTCTGGATTTTGCCTAAGTATAGATTATGGTTGGCATTGGAAGATTGATTCTTTTAAATTTTCTACATCGCCGACGTCATAGCTGTGTATCTAACTCAAGTACAAACGAATCATCAGAGCAACCAGAAGGTAACAAGGATACTGACCAAAAATGCAGAGTTTGTCTTAAAGAGGGGTCTGTTCCCATATTTGGGAATCAATTTACAGCCGATATTTCTGAGAATTTTCGTTCAATTACTGATATTGAAATAGATCAAAACGATGTCTTTCCAAAGTATCTGTGTGATGAATGTCATTCCAAGCTTCAAAATGCAATAGACTTGAGGAATACTGCAAAAGTCTCAGACAAAATTTTAAGGGAGTTGCCTTCAGATACTAATGAAGATGCAGATGACTTCATATATGAAACTCAACCCATTAGAAAACAAACCAAAACAACCCGTGATGAAAGTTATATATGTGTAAAATGTGATAAAACATTTAGGGTATTCGAGGAGTATACTGAGCACATCTCTATAGACCATGAAAATGCTTCTCGCCAGTGTCCTATTTGTAACAAGATATACAAAGAAATTTACTTTAAAAGACACTTATCTTTACATAACAAAACACAGTTTATATGTGATATCTGCGGTAAACATTCATTCTTCAAAGGCGAATTTACAAGACATCGCCTGACACACTTTTATCATCTTCCTTTTAAGTGTACTCTTTGTCCATACAGGGGGAGATTTCCAGAATCTCTAAAATTACATATGCGTACTCATACTGGTGAAAAGCCCTATCAATGTACACAATGTCCATCACGTTTCCTAACTAAGAGTAATCTCAATAAACATAGTTTAACCCATAGAGATAGTTATGATTTTAAATGTGAGTGTTGTGGAAAGGGTTTTCATAATAAAAGAACATATGACCAACACTGTAGAATCGATCATGGTGGCATTAAGGAACATGTTTGTAACATATGTAACAAAGCATTTGGATATCGTAAACAAATGATGAAGCATCAATTAAAAGTACATAAAAGAGAGAAATTAAGGAGTGGTAGGATGCCAATTTATTTACAAATACAACAAATGCAAAAGGAACAGCAAGAATACAGAGAAATAGATAGCATGTAAGAAACACTGAAACATAAAATTTATCATTTTAATAGCTTTGCCTTATTAGGATATATTTATTAAATATTTTATATGCTACAATGCTATTAGAAATCCTTAAGAATGACACAGGTACTTATTACAGACAGGTGGTATCTTCCAGGCAATCTCCTCTAATATAAAAAAATAAAAAGTCTGGATGGCACAAGATGGGCAAAACCTACAAAGAAACAAATAATAGAATATGTAGGGATTTTGTATAATATATACAGCTGAATAAAAAAGATGTTTTTGTTTCACCCTTTATTTTTACATTCAGCCAGTTACCTACTAAAATTTTTAAGCTTATAAAAAAGATTGACTATTGAGAATTCTAAAGACAACAAATGTGTTTATGCAGTGATGAAAAGGGACAAGTAAGTCAATTAGGTTGATTTGTTTTCCTGGTGTGTCAAACCAACTATTCCTACTGAGTTAAAATATTGAAGATATTTGTTTTGAAATTTTGAAACAAAAACCAAAGTATATTATGTATGTATTAAAATTATATTGCGATACTGGAAAATATTTAATGTAATGTCAAAAATACCCATTAAGTTTTTTAAATGCTTATGCTAATTTCTAAAACAACCAAGCTAATTCTCATACAGATAGAAATGTCATATTATGAACATGTATTGCAGAGACTTGTATTTCAGGAGTCCTGTCATTTCCCAGTCACATTTAAAAATATATAAATACTCTTTGATTATCTGATTTTTTTAAACATATTATTTAAAAAAGTCAATTCCAATTAGAATGTCATTATATTTTACGATTTGGGATCAATTTTGCCATACACTATAAATTCTTAAATGGCAAACGAAGCTGAAGAGACTATACGCAAGCTTTCCATGCACAAAGGAGTAGTAGGAGTTGTAGTGGTGAATGGCGAAGGAATACCCATTAAATCGACTTTGGATAACCACGTTTCTGTGCAATACGCCGGTCTGCTTAGCTCTTTGGTGGACAAAGCGAAGTCTGTCGTCCGTGATCTAGATCCTACGAACGACCTCACATTTCTACGTATTCGAAGTAAGAAAAGCGAAGTTATGGTTGCTCCAGACAAAGACTTTGTTCTGATAGTTGTTCAAACCCCTGTTGAATGACGAAGGCTTTCGCCCTTAAGGCATTTTAGTTTTAACTTTTATTTCGAAACATTATTAGTAACTTTAATTCTTCAAAAATAAAACATTTCAAGAATTTCAATAAGTTTATTGTACTTAATCTTGATGCTTAAAGTATCTCTACCACATATTGTCCCTGCCACGATAGCCTCCACGGTTTCCAAACCTACCGCGGTTGCCGTATCCCCCTCTATTACCATAACCACCTCGGTTACCAAATCCACCTTGATTGCCGTAGCCGCCTCGGCTACCTAACCCAGCTTGATTGCCGTAGCCGCCTCGGCTTCCTAACCCAGCTTGATTGTCATAGCCGCCTCGGCTACCCAACCCAGCTTGATTGTCATAGCCGCCTCGGCTACCGAACCCAGCTGGGCCACCAATGCTTCCACGATTATCACCAAGGCTACCATTTTGTCTATAATCCTGGTTTCCGCCGAACCCGGAGCTACTTCCGAAACCCCCCCTAGGTCCATTAGTGCCCCAGCCTCGATTATAGCCCCGTTTCGGTCCATCTGACCGGAATGTTGGTACAGATATTTCTCTACGTATTTCATAATCACCGGCTGTGAACTGACACAAAGCTCTTACACAGTTAAGTACCTGAAAATAAAAAGTGATATTAAAACTGTGTTAACCAATTTTAGCACGGTAAAAGAGGTTATTATAATTATGGTAACATGGTTTCGTTTTTAGTTGTATACTAAGGCAGTTCTTAGTAAAATTTGTGATAACTTATTGCTGACCTTGCTGACCCCACTTTCCGATTAGCCCTTTTAATACAAGTGTCTAAAAAAAGTGTTATTTTAAAAGCTTTATTTACAAGATCCTTCATTTACTCATTGAGATCCTTTTTTTATTTCTCTATGGGCTATACCTGTTATGAATTGTAGTTTAATTAAGTTAAACAATTAAAACGACTTCAATAATAATTAATAGATCGTCGTACTAACATATTACCCAACTCTAAAAATATATGGTACGGGAGGTAGCAACGTTTTCGAGGAAAGAATTTTAGGTCAGCTGATTTTGTGATATGTCTTCCTTCTTGCACTTTCGGTTAGAGTCTTGGCAATCTGGCTGGCGGTAGCGGTTGCGTTCTTTAGTGCGCATCCTATCTGTCCAGGTAATATCCTGGATTTTAAAAGCATTTTTAAGAAGCGTAATTTTTGATTTTTCCTTTTTATATAAGTCTACCTGACATACTTTTTTTATTGCCAGACATTTTTCACATTGCTAACTATGTGCCAGACGCGATTTTAAGTTTTTTTTTATAAAAATTTCAAAGTATTTTAGAATGTCTGTAATTTTAATATTATGTTCTTTAAATATAAGAAAAACTAAAAATGAATTTGCCAGACATTAATTCGGTTGTTAAGGTCTTGGATTAAAATGAAAAAGTATTGCAGTATGATGAAGCGTTGCATTTTAAGAAGCGCAATTTTTAATTTTTCCTTTTTAAAATAAGTCTACCTGACATACTTTTTTATTGCCAGACATTTTTCACATTGCTAACTATGTGCCAGACGCGATTTTAAGTTTTTTTTATAAAAATTTCAAAGTATTTTAGAATGTCTGTAATTTTAACTAGACTTAACAACCGAATTAATGTCTGGCAAATTCATTTTTAGTTTTTCTTATATTTAAAGCACATAATATTAAAATTACAGACATTCTAAAATACTTTAGAAATTTTTATAAAAAAAACAACTTAAAATCGCGTCTGGCACATAGTTAGCTTGAAAATGTACTGGCAAAAGTATGTCAGGTAGACTAATTTAAAAGGAAAATATTATAATTGCGCTTCTTAAAATGCAACGCTTCATCATACTGCAATACTTTTCATTTTAATTCATGACTTAACTACCGAATTAATGTCTGGCAAATTCATTTTTAGTTTTTCTTATATTTAAAGAACATTATATTAAAATTACAGACATTCTAAAATACTTTGAAATTTTTATAAAAAAAAACTTAAAATCGCGTCTGGCACATAGTTAGCAATGTGAAAAATGTCTGGCAATAAAAAAAGTATGTCAGGTAGACTTATTTAAAAAGGAAAAATTAAAAATTGCGTTCTTAAAATGCAACGCTTCATCATACTGCAATACTTTTTCATTTTAATTCAAGACTTAACAACCGAATTAATGTCTGGCAAATTCATTTTTAGTTTTTCTTATATTTAAAGAACATAATATTAAAATTACAGACATTCTAAAATACTTTGAAATTTTTATAAAAAAAAACTTAAAATCGCGTCTGGCACATAGTTAGCAATGTGAAAAATGTCTGGCAATAAAAAAAGTATGTCAGGTAGACTTATTTAAAAACGAAAAATTAAAAATTGCGCTTCTTAAAATGCAACGCTTCATCATACTGCAATACTTTTTCATTTTAATTCAAGACTTAACAACCGAATTAATGTCTGGCAAATTCATTTTTAGTTTTTCTTATATTTAAAGAACATAATATTAAAATTACAGACATTCTAAAATACTTTGAAATTTTTATAAAAAAAAACTTAAAATCGCGTCTGGCACATAGTTAGCAATGTGAAAAATGTCTGGCAATAAAAAAGTATGTCAGGTAGACTTATTTAAAAAGAAAATTAAAAATTACACTTCTTAAAATGCTTTTAAAATCCAGTATTTTTACCGGACAGATAGGATGCGCACTAATGAACGCAACCGCTACCGCCAGCCAGATTGCCCAGACTCTAACCGAAAGTGAAAGAAGGAAGACATATCACAAAATCAGCTGACCTAAAATTCTTTATTTTCAAACGTTCCTACCTCCCGTACTAATAGTATACATAAAGGTCAACCTATTTTGAAACACACAGGTTAAAACAATGTTCTATGACCCTCTTTGCAAACGTTGCCTCTTACCTTCTGTTCAGTCGGTGAATATTGCAAAGCAGCATCTGGTTCCGCGGCAGCTCTCTCAACAATGCGTTCAATGGCGGGCCGAAGAGCTGCTATCAGTGCCGCGGTACGAGGTGACATCTCAAAGTTAAGCCAGTTGTCTAGACGGATAACGTTGTCAATCTGGTGGAAACATCTTATCATTAAACTTACTACAGATATTAAACACAAATTTCTCAAGGCATGTATAAATTTATTATGAAATATTTCTCAGCTAGGGTGAGCGTTCAAGTATTACGTAACGAGTGGTGTGGATCATTTTGTAAAGCGCTACGATGCTGGGCGGGGATTGAATTACGCGTTATTGTTAATATTATTTTCGACTTTCCAGTACTTCACACCACATAATGGTAAACTTTTAGGAAACAGTCACTGGGTGGTCACGAAACGTTTTGCTATCGGGTACAGAAAAACGTTACGGTGTCAATAATCTCCAAAAATTGCGTGACGTAATACTTGAACGCTCCCAGGAACAGTTTTTATTGGCAAAAACAATTGTCGTTTTTAGTATTTTTCTTTACTTATTATTTAAGTCCCGTTTCTGAACGTCACTCCAATTAGAAATATAGCTTGCGTTCCAATCTAGTCTTGAGAACTGTCACATACTTCGTTGAGAAAATATTTAGATGCGATTTTGATGCACCTTTCAGAAACTCGACAATTTGACATTTTTATAGTTATTTATAAGTTCTAAAACAACGTGTATTCATTTTTTTTATTTACTTATTTATTATATACATGATCTTAAATAGAAAGAAGTTGGAGTGGTGGAAACACAAACTGGACACAGTTTTATAAATTATACAAGAAAATATGACATCACAAATTTTGCACATCAATTATATTAGAACACAAGCAAGCTAGCAAGGGAAAAAATTAAACAAGCAACCACAAAATAAAAAATAATAATAACTTAAACTAAATGAAAACTTAAATCTCATTAAGAGCATGATAAACAAAGTTACGGTAAGTTGGAAGACTGTTTTAAAATATATTAATATTTTGATCAAAGTTAGTAATCATGTTGTAAGAGCGAGCTAGCCTATTCACTGGACTCTAGGATTACAAAGGTAGAAAAATTTGTAAGATTAGTATGAGTATTTAAGTTAAAAATGTATATAAATATATATTAATGAAGTTATGTCGGAGTTTTAGAGTTTCTAACTTGAATAGTCCAAACGAGCCTTATACGTTTGTAATAGACCACGCAAGTGTAGACGATTGCAAAGCTTTATAAGGAAACGTTTTTATAAATATTATACCAAATACTATTAGCGGAACAAGATTTTTCTCCTTTCTATTGCTTAAACTAAAATTAGATTTAAATTAACTTGTACGCTATTTTTTACCTTGTTAATTTGTTAATTACTACAATTAATAAAAAAAAACAATTTGTATTTTTTTTATTAAAAAAAAATTAAAATGTGCATTGTAGACGAAAAACTAATTGGTGATAAAAAGGGTCCATCAAAGAAATATTCTTATATCGTTTGAATATTCGTCTTTAGTGACTTTCAGTAACGTGTGTGGCCTCCATGAGCCCTAATCACGGCTTGACAACGACGCGGCATGCTTCGTATGATCCTCCGAATATCTTCTTGTGGAATTCGCTCCCAATCTTCAATCAACGCTTCAGTGAGCTGCTGCAGTGTTTGAGGTGCAATCGGACGCTTCCGGATGCGCCTGTCAAGCAAGTCCCAAATGTGTTCAATTGGATTTAGGTCAGGGCTCATGGAAGGCCACTCCATTACACGGATTTCCTGCTGTCGTAAGTAATCTGACGTGATGGCTGCAGTATGCGGCCTGGCATTATCTTGCATTAAAAGAAAATCTGGGCCCATACCATATGCTGCGGGCCAAACATGATCTTCGAGTAATGTAAGTTTGAGCACACAAGCGCCCGGGAACAACGACGAGATCTGTGCGCTCATCCAAACTAACTCCGCCCCAAACCATCACAGAGCCACATCCAAATTTGTCATATTGCTGGACTGCTGCTGCACTGTATCGCTCGCCTGGGCGTCTGTAAACACGGAGACGACCATCGCAACGTGTTAGACG